TGAAAAGTATCAATCCATCGCCATTTTAATTTCACTTTTCCTCATTCCAACACACGTACGGGGAGAAACTTGTTATCCAAGTTAAAGTAAAGTCAAAAATAAAAAGCAAGCTTCCAAAGTTGGTTCGTCTGCTTACAAGTAAAACTCACAATTAACTTCAAGTTGCAGCGGTGGCGGCGGCTTCTAGCTTCGCCGAAGCAAAGGCGTCCTGGATTGCGGAGAATCCTCGGGGCTCCGGAGGAGTTCTCACCTACATCGTCCATATAGGACGACTCGGGAACTCAACTCCTACCCCGGGCAGCTCACCGATCCCCTCAGTGGCAAGGTTTCCATCCTGAAGATTATGTGGGAAACTCACCAAACCTACCATGTTGGCCAAAAGTCAGTTTTGTGTGAGATTTTTTATTTTCAAATAGAGGAACATCCCAAATTCCTCTCCTCAAAACCAGGGGAAAAAAGTAAAATAAAATCCTGATTTTTACACAGGATTGCCCAGCTTCACCCACTCTGTTTCATTACTTCTCCCTCCAAGATTACAAAGGATCCCAGGCAGGTTGTCTACCTTTGTTTTCACCAGCATTACATGCACTCTCTGCATCAGAGCTTCCAGGAGGAGATGTACTTATGATCTCAGTAGTCAAACGATCACAATATTCAGAAACTTCTTCTACCAAAATTGAAAGACAAAAGACAATACATAAAGTTAGGGTCTAGTTTTGCTATTGAGAAGACGCTGCCCCCAATACCCAACCAGGTTTCCCTTACTCAGACAAAACCACTTGAAAGATTTTAAAATAGCTGAAACCTCACAAAATCCTCAAATCTTGCATTGCTGAATATTCACAGGCAGAACTCAAGGTGACTTGCAAAAAATCTCATGAGAGTTGATCATCTTGCAAGATTTCAGGTAACTATAGTTGTAGGAAAAACTGGGCCTAGATCTGGGATATTTCCATTGCTTTTGTGGTATACATTGGAAGATCTCTGCTTTTGCACAAGCAGGTATGTATGTTGCTGAATTCTATCTGAAACTGACACTCCACACAGAATCCAAGATGTGAAAGTCTCTGATTTGCTCAACAAGCCTCTTAAAGCTTAGAACAGTGATGGCGAACCTTTTAGAGACCGAGTGCCCAAAAACTGCCCCTGCCCCCACTCCACCCCCTGGCCCGCCTGCCCGCAGGGCCACTCACTGCCTCCAGGGCCCGCCACAGATCGTCCAGGCAGCCCAGCAGCGCCATGGCAGCCACGCCCTCTGTCCGCGCCCCGCAGCATCAACTGTGTGTGATGGGGCATGAGGGAAGAGTCTTGTCTACGCTTGACTGGTTGCAATGTCTTTGGCTGCGCTGCTCTGCATGGGCCACGTTCGGGAGCAACTCTCCTCCAGGAGGGCTGCTGGTGAGGAGGGGATCGCGGGGGGAGGCAAGGCTGGGGCAACGGCACGTGTGCCCACAGAGAGGGCTCCGAGTGCTGCCTCTGGCACCCGTGCCATAGGTTCGCCACCACTGGCTTAGAAGATCATCTGGAAGAGTCCTTTCAGCTGCTTTTCCTGGTTCATCAAATTTAGAGTATTTGGTTCCAGTACAGTTCTTACCATAAGAAGCAGGGATGACTGAAGAAAACAATCATACAGGTAACCATTTCTCTTACCAGTTTTCCCCAATTCTAGCTTGAATCTAGTTATCTCCAAATATTCAGATCAAAACTTTTCCCAATTCAAGTTTGTTTTTTCAACGCATGCCTGGCTTACTTATTGTGATTCCTCCACTTAATGTAGCAACTAACGTTTTTAGCCATATAATCAATAAGAGTTTTCCTCTGATTTCATTAGTACCCTAGGGCTTTTCTCCTGCTTCCTGTAGTTCTCAGCTAAGTGTAAGAAAGATCTGAATGTCTCACCTGTAATTATTCCTGGCATCTTCCAAGCTTTCTGTGTTACAAAAAAATATCAGGGTTCACACTGCATGGAAAGAAAAGAATTTGGTATTACTGTAGTCATCCCTGCACAGAAACATATATCTATATTTATCACATTATTTTTTTAGAAAGTATGGCAAGGCTATGGATCAGAAAAATGCATTTTAGAATGATGGAAGAAATGAAGGTGAGAGAGAGATATTGATATACAGTATATATATTTTCGTAGATTTTCACGGGTACAGGTATGCAGGTCTTGGCGTATTCGGGTCTTTTCCCGTGTAAGATTGAGAGTATCTTGGCGAAATGTATATATGGTTAATAATATCCGTAAAAATATGATTCCTGGGTATATCCATGTCAAACGATAAAATAATCACGATCACCAGGAAAATTCAAAGTAGAAAAGTTTTAATAAATACCAAGCTTTCGTCGGAAACTTCTGACATCGTCAGGGTTTAAGGCTAGACTATGGGAGTGACTTATATAGCGTTGGACAACGCCAGCATCCGGCTTTGGGACCTCATCGGGCCCAGCTGACTAGAGTGTGTTCTAAATGTGTCTATGACATCAGTGTTAAACCCGTTCTTCTTCCTCTTTTTCATATATACAGTATCCCCCGTCCCCTCGTCACTCATTCCAAAAGTTCTTGGATCACATTGAATCTGCTCCCCCCCCATTTTTGGATGGTCGCTATCTCCGTATTCCCCTTGCCCTCCTCCACAACACTCTCTTCCTTAAGGGCTCTCCCATGCTGTACGTCCGTTCTTCTCTTTCCTCCCCCTCCTCCACCGTGCGTCTTGCTCCGACTCCAATCAGCTCCTGTTGCTCTGCTAGATTGTGAGTCAGTTGCCGCTATTCGCTCTAAATCCTCCATACAGAGGATATTAACACATTACAGAGTAACATAGCTAATGGGCCGATGACACGCTCCAGGAGCCAGGCGCAGAGACAGGCAGCTGTATATAGGCAAGCTCCCTAATCACCTAGCATTTTAACTCTGATGACGTCAGCAGTTTGGCTAATGAAAGCTCAGTAAGTAACTTTTTTACTCCTGAACATCAGCTCCTGGGGGTGGGTTGTCTGCCGGCGTTGTGTCATCCTTCCTCTCCTCTTTCATGTTTAGATGGTTTAGAGATGTCATTTTACTTGTGGGGTGTATCCCCAGTTCATCGCTCTCTCTCAGGGTTGTAATCACCTCCCTTGTCATCCCCTCTTTCTGGTCTTGTACGGAGTGAGTTGGTTGCCTATGTTTCCAATTGGCATCCCGCCCTTCCCATCCCCTTAGTATATGATATGCTGGAGGGAGCTCTATATGGCGATTGATGGAGTGTTTGTCTGACAGCCAGGCTTCTTTGAGGAGGCAGCCTCCCTTGGTGTTATCTTGGGCTATGGCCTCGACGTTGGTGAGGTCGAATCCATGGCCGTAATCGGCCATGTGGGTCCATACCTGTGAATATTGCTCTCTTCTCTTAACTGCCAGCTCATGCTCGTGGACCCTGGTCTTAAGTCTCTTGGAGGTTTCACCAACATAATTGCAGGGGCAATCCTTGCAATTAATTTTGTATATTACTGAGGATCTTTCTCCAGTGGGGAGTGGGTCCTTGGGGCACATGATTCTAGCACGGAGAGTCTTGTCTGGTTTATGGGCTACCTTCATGTTGAAGGGGGCTAGCAGTCTGGCCGTTGCTTCTGATACTCCGTTGATGTAAGGCAGGGTCGTTCGTATGGGCTGTGTGCATGTCGCCTTGTCTTGTGCATCAACGCGTGATCAGTGTCGTTTGCTGTGCCATTTGATAAACTCCATCGAATAACCGTTACGTCTGCATACACGGTAGAGGTAACGTTTTTCTTCCATTCTAGCTCTATCCGTGTTGCAATGTGAGCCAACGCGTTTAAATAAGGTCTTAATGCAGCTAATCCTGTGTGCTACAGGATAGTTGCTTCTGTAATGCAGCATCCTATCCGTGTGAGTTGGCTTCCGATAGACGGCTGTATGCAGGGATCCATTGGGTTGGCGTTTAATCCACACATCTAGAAAGGCGAGGGCCCCTTGATTCTCCTCCTCAGCCATAAACCGGATATCCGGGTAAACGGAGTTCAGTTTATCCATAAAGCCATTCTTGTCTTGTTTTTTAATCACCACTAAGGTGTCGACATACCGGACCCAAAATTTAGGGCGATAGTCTGCCATCACCACAGTCTCTAGTTGTTGGGAGCAGATGAACAGCGGATCTCCAGGCACCCACACACGCAAAAAGAAAACAACAGCAACTGGAGAGGAGGGGACAACTTTAGAAACGGCCCCTTTAAGAACTACACAGCCGATGCTAATGAGCAGACCTATGACCCGATCCAGGGTCAAAGCGCAGAGGCAGCCGGCCACATAAAAACGGACTCCCAGATCCAGCATTTTATAGCCTGACAATGTCGGTAGTGTGGCCAACAAAAGCTGCCGCGTCAGCCCCGCCCCCTGGGTGCATGCTGGGGAGGTGTCACCCTTTGTGAGGAATGAAGAAATGCATCATCACCTGGAAATGGTCCTGGTCCCACCCCATTCTGCCAGAGACCCTCAGATCTGTCCCACTCCTGCCCTGGCCCCCACAGGCCCCCTTGACGCAAACGATGTAGAGCTGGCCATGCCCACACAATAGGCCACACCCACTACATCCACACCCACCCAGTAGGCCGCACCCACCCTGGCCACACCCTCCCCAGGACAACCACAATGCTGATGCGGCCCTCAATGAAATTGAGTTTGACACCCCTGGTGTAGGGTTATTGCATCCAAACTCAGGCATCCAGAGTTTGGTGTGGAGCAGATAAAAACTACAATTTGAAAGAGAGAATGTTTACCTTTATAAGGGGGCTTGTCTGCCCACCTGAAAATTAGAATCACCAACTAATTCAGGCAAAGCAAAAAACATTTATTAAGGGAGTCAAGTTGCTTGTTAGGCTGAGCCAGGGGCCCACCCACACCTGCATAATTATCCCACCTCTTCCACAGTATTTACTCCCAGTCCAGGGAGAGAAGCAACCCACTCTCGGCTTCCACATCTTGCAACTGTTCATTCATGCTGCCAAGGTAACCCATCCTTCCCTTCGTCCCAAAGGTGCTTTTTCACAAGGCAACTGGACTTTCTTGTTTTTCTTTGAAGATGTTCTGCTTCTCATCCAATAAGTTTCTTCAGCTCTGACTAGATCAGGCATGTCCAACTCGCGATGTCATGTGACGTTGTCCGATGCATCGGAGCTTTTTCGCCATTGCCGGCAATGGGGTGGGCACGGCTCTGGTATGATGAAACCGGCCCATGGGCCGGCAGTATGACACCCCCTGGACTAGATGGTGGGGAATGGAAGGATTTTTACTCCTTGCAGACAGCTGGTCATTTGCATTCTTTTAGGGTCGGTGAGGCCTCCTTGAGGTTTATCTGTGCCCTCAGGATCACCTGATTAATGCAAATGGGTGTGGAGCCTTCTTGGAACTGTTGAAAGGATTGTATTCCAGATTGGAAATAGATGATGTCATATAATAATAATAATAATAATAATAATAATAATAATAATAATAATAATAATAATAATAATAATAATAATAATA